CATACACCCATTCATTTTTTGGGGGACTTTTTTTGAGAAAAAAAAAAAAAAAAAAAGGAGAGAAAGAGAGGAACGAAAGGTGTGTTTTATCTGTTTCATCTTGAATGCAGAGGGGTCTGCGAGGATGGAAGTTGTTCTTATTCTGAAGATAAAAACTAAAGAAATGACCAGAGATTCGAGTTCGTCTCCTTGCTGGTGGTTTTGGGGTACAATTTCAAAAAACCGAAACACACATTGCAAGAGAATTTTGCTCTTTTACATTCAGAATCTGTCCATGTCTGCTTTCCGAAAAACATTCAAAGCTACTGTGAGCCGTTGTTGCTGTTCATCGACAGTGTGTGCCAGTCTCTCTCTGAATGCTTTGTGTGTGTGTCCTACCTTGTGTGTGTGTCTCTGGTTCACTGTTTCGGGGACTGCTGCGGAGTCGTCTCTCTGGCTTCTTCCCTCCCGGACTGCAGAGTCCGCCCCCCGACCCCACTGACCCAAGCGATGGGGCGTGTGATTTGTTGCTGCATCACAAATAAAGTTACAACGTCATTTCATTAACCAGTAACCGTTTTTGACATTGGACTAAATTCTCAACTCTCTGATCAGAGCCAATTGCTGAATAAGTGAGTCTTCATCGAACAACAGTTCATCAATTGTCGTGTAAAAAAAGACACAGAAGCAGTATGGTCACCTGTATCCGTTGTGTGCTGGCCCCAGGCTGCCCTTATAGAGAGTGGAGGGGGGGGAGTTAAGTCGGTTCTGTCGCTCTAGTTGCCTCTGTTCCTTTATCTTTTTGGGCTGTGGCTTACTGTACGTCTCCTCTCTGCCGATGTAGTTAGACATCCCATAAACTGGGATGATTTCTGAAAAAAATGGAGGAGATTAAAGAAGAGAATATAAATCTGTACAAAGCATATTTTTAAAATCGGATTATTAATTGCATTTTTGATTCCACATATATGCCCTGATTTTTTCGGGGCCGTAGCATGAAGTCCAGCCAGCATGTCAGTACCTGGATCGCCGTACATGGGGGGAAGGTGGTGCTGGTAGTACTGGTGGGGGGGCAGCTCCCCGGGGCTGACAGGGGGGTAGAATGAGTGAGAGTTGGGGATGAAGTGAGGGTGAGTCAGGTAAGGGGGCAGGTGGTGTGTGGGGGAGAGGGCCGGAGAGTAGGAGGGAGGGTAGCACTCTGGAGACTGGGGTGTCACCACCACCCGGCGGACCCCCGTATTATCCTCTAGCACCTGCGTGAGACACAGACAAAGAAAAAGGGAGGTGAGTGTAAGTGGGATAAAGAAAAACATGTTTCAATAAGTCACAGTTCACTTTTGGCTTTTTTTACCTACACGTCATACGAGATCAGTAAACTGCACTGATGTTGAGTGGAGCTCGCTCAGAGTGGTTCAGGAATCACTTTGTGTTAGATTATCAAGTTAAAATGTAGCATTTGGTACATGACATCAGCATATCAGTCAAGAGGATAACAGATTATCAATTAGAGGGGGTAGACTCCTTCTCTAGTTTCTACAGTACATATGATTTATGCCGATTTTAGTTTTTTATGTACATTTGTAGGAGTTCAACACTTTGGGAAATACGCTTTGACTCAGATGAGAAGATTGACACCATTCTGTTTATATGAAGCTACAGCCTGCAGGTATCAATCTTCTTGTCTACCTGTTGGCGAGAAAGCGAATAAGCAGATTTCCCAACTTGTCGAACTAGACCTTCAACATCTTTATATCTGTTTGTAAAGCTATATTAAAGATTCCTAAGGCCCTAAAGCACCTGCTCTTACAAAATGATGCTGTCAATCACTTGTGTAAGAGCAGCTGCTCTGTCTGTCGAATGGTATCTAATAAAAGGAATGAATCGCATAACTTAGTTAACAAGTGAGCGATTGTGCTGAAAGGATGCTTTGGCCCTTTAAGTGGTAAAACAAGTGCCGCAATGTTGTGATCAGATGGTCTGCAGATTTCAATGACAACACGTTTCAAAGACCTAACTCAAATTAACATAGATCCCATACATGTATTCACTTTCCCATTCATGGACTGGGACACACACACACACACACACACACACACACACACACACACACACACA